ATATAAAAAAACATTCAGATTAGTTATTTCAAAATTTCGCTAAGCCCACATCAAATCTAAGTTGTTTTAGCTGCAAGGCTCATTAGAGACTTTTGAAGTGATTCGTAGGATTTCGTGTTCAGTCTTAATCGATGCTTAGCGTCAACCGTTCATAAAATGCTGCGGACAGAATGTAGTTGCTCCTTGAAATGGCGAAATGCAACAGGGAAGGTTCTGTTTTTTTATGCCCCAACGGCATCTCTACACGCCCGTACCTGTTATGCGTCGGAAATTCAATGAGATTCTATTTTAGCTTTACAGTTACAATGTAACACAGCTTGAAGCTTCGATTAATTGTACTTCATGCGACGACACATACGAGTAAGGGTGATACACGGCTTACATATGTAAAACGCAAGCATTATTTTTTATTGAAATCATGATCTAGAAACAGCCACTTCTGCTCAAACAATGCTCGTTGTAGACTTACAAGTAAATCTGTTCGCTTCACCAAGGCGATGCTCGCTATAGTGAAGATACAAATAGATATATCCATCTAATACATGTATATGCAATAAAAACATTGTGACATGAGATCGCTATTATGGGGCAGCTGACAGAGGCTTTCTAATTCTATTTCCTTTTGATGTGTTTGATCAAGATCATTTTTGGTAATAGGCCTACTGCAATAGTGCATAGAGACTTCAGTTGAAATCCGTTTAGAATACACACGTTCAAGATGTATGGCCGTTCGTATACGGCGTCTTTTATGAACATTTTCGATTTAAAAATGTGTAGATAGAGACTATTCTTACTTTTGACCAGACTCGCAAACATGGCAGATGCTTTCTTGATATTTTTCATAGGTTGCTTAAGATATAGATTGCATATTACCCACTATTAAATTCGCTTTTTTTGTATTCAAAATAAAAACAGACATCCGTCGTAAGTTAGTTCGATATATAGATTATAGACTCTAAACAAATGTTACATTTAATTGATCTATTTTTTTTTTGCCAGTCTCTTGTGGGGCATTGCATACTGAAGTTTTTCTCAAGATTACGTTTCGTCTCAACTAAGGTGTCTTTTGAGATGACTAGTTGCGTATTGTATAATTTACTCAAGTACGCAGTTCGGGCAGTATTTCACAATGCAACAATAGTAATTCGATTAATATGATATTTCAACATATGCATGTTTGCCATCTCAGTTCGCCCCATTAATTAATCAATTGCAAGTCTGTTGGTTACACAATAGCGATGCGCCGAGAGTTAGCTAATGGCCAATTCGACATTTGCAATAACTGTTTCGCTTGAAATAAAATCTCGATTATATATCTCGGTATTGTTTAGATACTGCAGCGTTTTCAGCTTGTCGTTCCCCAAGTTTTTGCAGGAGAGATGCAACCATTTCTCTATCTTTCATCGTCATCCATCCGAAGAGAAACAAGAATACCCTAGGCATGTCACGATAAGGCAATAATTTTTAAGGACAGAAAGCCGTTTCGTGTATATTCTTAACCCTTATCATACCAAACCCTGGATAGCATTCGATTTTATCCTAGTCTTCTAGTTTCTGCTTGCTAGGTTTCAAAAAGGTCCAGAAATGCCTTGTTAAGCGACCGCAGAATCAATTTTTTTCCAAAAGGCGTCATTGCAAATTGGATCTTGTTCGCAGATTTGTGTGATCTGTAATTGATGACCTTTAAAAGATGGCAGTTCTACTACTAGTGCAAATGTTTCTCTATGCGAGCACGTTATCAAAATGGCTTGTTATCATCGAATTTAAGATTATTTAACCTTCTAATAGAAGCAAAACTCCAGTGGATACTCGCCCAACGTGGTTTTCGTCAAATTTGAATGTGCAATGCCTTCAGTAACGTTAGGTAACCTCTTGTACGTTGTTGTAGATTGTACGTTATGTGATCGAAGCATTGACGGAAATTCTGAGTCTCGCGTCTAACGTCTTCGAGTGTTAGTGCTATATAGAGTCTATCACCTCAGTTGGCATATTTCTACATACGCTTATCTTTGAGTTTAGCTACTCATTAAGTTTCATTTTTTTAGAAACCTAAGAAACAGCAATTCCCACGGTCGCACCAAAATGTATTGCCTTCAAAAAGGCCATTGAAGGTTGATATTCAAGGGAATACAGCTGGCCGATTTCTCGCTATAAACATTTATTATATATAATTGCTTCTATTTATATAATAATTAATTCTATCTTAAGAATTAATTTAAGCACTTACCTGCTAGGTTGAACGTATGTAACATATTCAGGTTATAGTATGCCCCTTTGTGAATCGTTTTAATTGTGTTATTGTTAAATTTAATATAACAAAAAAATTATGAACTTTGCTTTAGACGTATTTGTTAATATCATTGTAACTTTGTTGAAACCCAAGTCTTAGTTATGTCGAGCTTAGTTACGTTGTCGTTCATCTGTTGAATATCGTTAGCTAGTAGTATGATCTCCTCTAGTTCAGAGTTAGCGGCAAAACCGGATACCTTGGGTCAATTACTCTATTCTAGAACCGATATGAATCCATCGTTCATTCTAATTCATCTAATTCAGACATGCCATTAAAAACTGCCAAGAAAGTGACTATGAGCTCAATTAAGGCAAGATCGGTAATGACAAATTGTTGAACGAGTCTGGAGGTACCTTAGGTGTAGGCAATTTATAAAGATTCGAAGGTCTTAGTTATTTTCTAGCCGTACGAAAAACGAAAGATACGTGAATTGGGTTAAAGTCGAGCATGAGTTTCTCTAGGAATGTAGAGATGTTTGCGATGAGGTTAGTGTTTAAGCCAAATAAGCTACGATTCTAAAGACTTTAATGAAAAGGGCAGATACTTTAAATAAATAAATGTTCCTTAACAAGAGATTCCTAACTGATTTTAAATTTTCAAAAAAAATCTTCACAAATTTTAAAAAAGGCAAAATCCTTCACACCATTCCCGATTCTCCGGAATCTGCCGCTCCCCTGAAGGCCTCTCCTTGCAAGATCCCATCTGTTACCAGTGGTTTGTTAGATATAAGGTTAATGGTGACCCTCTTACGTCCCCGTGTAACAACCGGATCGAATATAGTGCCTGTGGTTTATTTAAGGAAGTGCATCTAGGCAATAACTAGATATGCTTTACCTAATTGAAACCGCAGTAAGAGTACTGAAAGGAAGGCAGAAAGGACGAAGACATCAGGTAGTTAGTGTTACAGAAGTGCTACGTTTTATTATACACATACACATATGATTGCTAACAATCATCAAGAATTGTTTCTATTGGTAAAATGTCTACAATCGGATTTCTTCCATTTAGAAGGCGATATTATTACATTTGGTCGGAATTTACCTGGCCTTGGAGTTGAGGTAATAATACCACGCTTTGAAGCCGCAGTTTTTTCATAGAAGAACGAAAAAATTAACTTTCGATTGATGTCCTGTCTGTCGGTAACAAAATATGTTAGATACGTTTCCTTTGTGACAATTACTTTCAAAGTGGACGTGAGATCAACCACGGTAATTGCCGTCTGGCTGGGGCTAAAATTATAAGAGGTATATCGTTTTCATTACGCTTCGCTTTTTGGTAACTCTTAATATTGCCCCTTTTAGCTGTTAGTCACTTAGTGGCCTCATTTCAGTGACAAATGTTTTCCACGTTTTTAAGCCTTGTTTCACAAATACATTGTTTACACTTGAATTGTTTTTATCGTTGCATACATGTCCTGGTGAATAGTTTGGTCAGTTAGATCGACCGGAGATCGTACTCTTCATGACTTCGGCTATACGATAATGGAGAATATTCTGTTCCGAACATTTGAGAATCATGAAGGAAACTCTGTCATTGACGTCTTCGCCATAGATACGTCGTACAGCCTACATTTCTCGACGGTTTTCGACTTCATTTGCTCTCAACGGAGATGGAGGATGTGGGGATTTGGACTAACATCTTATTGCTTCTCTTCAGATGCTCTTAGATAACGCTTTCCAGTAAATTTGACTCGAAAACACGAAAAAGTCAGCGTAAAGATTATGAGGAACGACTGCTTAAAAGTAACATGTTTGCGACCTCATCGGTGGCTGCGACGACACGTTTTAGCATCATATCCAATCGAAATAAGTTCTTCATGTACTTAAAAGGCGCTAGACAGTCAAAATAAGATTAATTCGCAATCCGATGTTTTAAGCTGTCATTTGGTACCAGGTAGCGCTCAGATCACGCAAACCCTTTAGTTAAGATTTGAAGCCATCGCATATAATGGTTTGTATCCACGGACCAAGGCGAAACGAAGCTTCCGGCTTCGATCAGTTCTCAACAAGTACTTACATAAAGCAAAGCTCCTTTTCAACAGCATCCGGTATAGCCTTTTTCGTCTTTCTGTGCAAGCTCATACCAAGTCAGCCGAATGCGTCCTGTAGCTGACGAAATATCTCTAAAACCTTTACCTCACCTCCTTACCAGCCGCCTCTCGTAGTATTTCGAACTTGTTGACATGGTCCTTGACAATGCCGCTGGAGTGTTTCAAAACGTCCAAAAACTGTTGAGGGACATTAACCAGATAAACGAAGTTACTTCGGATGACGCAGTTGCTGAGCTCGACGCTTTTCGGCAAACCACATGGATGGATCAATACAATAAGCTAGGTTCATCAAATTAACAATATGGTCCACGTAGTCCTATAGTTGGACAGAGTATGCGCTATGACCAGGTACCACGATTTAGGGATTGCACCTCTCAACAATGCGAACGTGTTTACATTCGTCAATATTATATCAACGCGTTCGGGCACTCGCAATGATCCAAATGTTCATATTTTAGTATGTGCAAGTTACTATCTTCATCGCAAAGTTACGTTGTAACCAATACCTACCCGCGGCGAATGTATTGATGGTTTCATGAATGCAACACGTTTGTATTTCCTTTTAATTAATACATTATAAATAACATTAAATAATAATAATAACAGCCTAATTATAGTACATACCTTCTTTTCCAACGTCTTTTTTTCTACTTTTTTAGCGTAAGTCTCTATGTAGTACTAGCTCAGATTGACTAGTTTACAAGAGCCGTCCAATGAGTTCGATTTTTTATGGCCTTTCTTTTTAAAAAACTAGCCAAGTTTTTGCTGAAGCTGCGTCATCATTTTAAACAGACTGAGTTATCATGATTGCTGTTAGCATATGCGGCGGATACACTAATTTTAATAATATAAATCATACCTGCACAAGCCATATTTTAGTAGCTTGTACACGGACTCCAATGAACTATGTGGAACATATCCATATAATAGTACCATTTATGATAACTTACCCACTTGAAATGTTCTAATATATCAACGAGCAGGATGGTATCCCGCAGTTGTCGACAGTAAGGTATGTCATATGGAGAACACTGAGCTCCCGGAGCAGTGCAGAGACATTCGTTGTCGCTATTATGCATTTAACCTGAAATTCAAGCTATAAGTGCGGGTAAATTGTCGTAAGCATTACCTGGTCTTATCAAAGATTTAATAATATTGAGAGTATAAAATGGTTATTTACATGTTCCTATTGAGGGGCAATAAGAACTTGATGGCATGAATCGTTCCTAAATTATAAAATAAAGCGTCAGCCAGATACCAAATGGTGAAAAAGTAAGTTTGTTGCAAGTTTCGCACTGAGACATGTATCAGTCCACGTTATAACCTCATGAACCCTATATTAGTAAAAAAAGTACACATGTTTGCAGTAGAAAAAAAATGCTAATCGAACAGAAAGGCCAAATCTAAGCTAGGACCTGAGAACTCAGTTTTACATCCAATATTGTCAGTAGGTATTTCATCAGAGAAGACGAAAGAGGTACGACAGTTTGGAATATTTGCGTTAGACGACGTTAAACCCAAAATAATGAAGTCCTTGACTCATTAAGGTTATGCTTTGAAGCTAAAGCTCTTATTGTGAAGAAGGCAATATTTGCCAGAAAAATCTAGGAAATTTTGATATGAAATTATTTGATTAAAAAAAAAACTAGTAGTTAAATTATAGCGCTGGACGGTATCTTTCATATTAAATATATTCTTATTACGCCAAAAGGAATGATCATGAGTTATTACTCTGCTGCAATATTTAAAGAAAAATGTATAAAATATGTAAGAGAATCGTTAAAGCAGCATGTGACTACAAAACAAGCATCGCTTTATGAGGTGGGGTTAAAACTTGGCTTCAAAGTATTTTTAGTTAATGTAGGACGGATGGCCAAATTTGTCGCTCTTGTTAACCTTATCATAGCAGGACGGGTGAATCCCTGGTGGTCCTAGCTTTCGTTTAGTCTGGGACTACTTGCTTTAAATCGCAACTATCAAGTGTGCCGTGGGCATAGGAGATAAATCAATCGCATCTGAGGGCACAATGTTCTGAAAAACGATCTTCGGTTGACCTATGATATTCAACGAGGTTTTCAGCCCCGCGTTGTGTCAGCACCTTCGAACTGCGCGTCCGAGAACTTTCATTCAGACTCCACTTGCGCGGTAGTGCTAATAAACCATCAAAAAGCAAGCTGTTGCTTATCTCCAATAATAGGGGTGCCCACGCTAACGAGGAGCACGCTTCACTAGTCAGTAGCGCAAACGCTTCGGCGACCAACGAACTATTGGTATTATCAAACTTTCACAAAAGCCATTTAAGCGCCTTTCAAGCTATTCGCAAATCAAAGGCATGATATTACATTGAAAAAATCCGACCTCAAGCTGGGGAGCCCGTTACGAGACTTGCCCGAACTACATGCCACAACCAGGGGAGGCCGCTTTAAACACCCGTAAGACAAACCATTAACAATTGCCTAAAAAACGAATGAGAATTCTATTGAACACAAGCTCCCAGAATCGCAAGTTGCAAAGGTGCCTAGTCAAGTGGCGCCCGACGTGCAAGCGAGTTGGTCTAAGAGGCAAGTAGCAGTTACTCAGAAGAACCCAGTTAAACTACGTTGTTCACGACGCCTTGGACCGTTCGTCTGATTTATGCCGAAATATGAATGACTGGGACTGACAACTCTTAATCATCAGCGATGCGATACGACAGCAGAGCTAAGCGTTAAAAGAGGGTGATCGCGGGATGAGGGCATGCTGCCTAGTAGCGTTAGCCGAATAAAACAGACATGTTAGATTATATCGCGCATTTTCAAAGAAACGACCCGTATTCTTCTAGAATAACTGGATACATCAGCGTAAAACATGTTCTTTAAGCTTTGTTCGCGGAACTTGTGTTTCGCGAAGAAGAGAGTCACCTTGGAAAGAAATCCTTTACGATTTTCTAAACTCAATTTTGAGATTCCACCGCATACATAAGCCTTCTGGACTTCGAGATAACGTCAAAGAAGGTATATTGGGCAAAGTTATTGTCCGCCTTACACCCTCAGAGATTGCTTATTGAAACGTCGCTGAGTGCCAGTTTCACCCAAACCTAAAAAATATTTAGTAAATGTTTGCAGGTTATACGACACAAGCGTGACTGGCTGAGTGTGTGCCAACTCTGTGATACTTAGTCGATTTAAAAAATGCAACTGGTAAAGTGTAGAACTAATATCAATTGTGGCTGGCTCTAAATTAATAGTAAAAGCAAATGAAGTTCCTTTTTAGAAGCCAGTTTCGCGGCAATAAGTTGAACATTTTGCAGTAGTAATTGTTCATATTAAACGTATTGCCAATAGCGCGGCAAAAAATTCCTCTTTTATGGATGACAGTCCAATCCGCCAGTTAAAGTTTTCCCAAACATAATACTAAACAATAGCAAAAAGGACACTATGGCTGCAGGTGTCTAGGGGCAAGATGCAAAGTGAGAAGGTACGCAGTCAAACGGCAAACACATTCGCTGGTCCAAGATCAGCCACATTGTATCTGCTCCCTTAGTGGGCTCATTAATTGATGCAGGCAACGATTTTTGTCCAGGGAAAATAATAAGACGACGGTTATCATAGAAAGACAAAGTAATACTGATTACGGTAGAAGAGGAAGATTACAATGGTCGTAGTAATAGTCCTTATTCGTTTCTGTTTGCTAGGTTATAAAATCACCTATTAATCTGAAACCGCCTCTAGCTCTATATACGCACCCAACAGCAGCGAAATGTTAAGACTAAGTTGGCTTCTTATATAAATTTTTTTTATCAGTCTTGAACAAATTACAGTAGTTAACTTTCTATTGAATTCGACTCTTTTAAAATTTAAGGTTTCTTTTCATCTGGAGTTTGTGTTTCAGCAGAAAGGTAATCCGTTAGGAAGATATCTTGTTTGCACCTCCAGTAAGTACCAGCTACAGCTTCTAAACTACTTATACGTGATGAATTAAGAAATAGAAGGATCGCGACAATGGCTTCGGTTTTATAAGGAGGAATAACAAAACATTCGTTTAATTCGGGTCTTTGACGTCATGTCAAATTCGTAGGCAATTTTTCTTCGAGTTTTCTTCATCTTGCTGCATCGCCAAATTAGAATAACTGTATAACTGGTGCTACATCTCAATATTTGACTGGTTTTTGTTCGTTAATCCTAATTAATTCCTCATTATCTCTGCCGGCCCAGAATCGACCACGCCTTTTGAAAGCTAGGAGCCATTCGCAGTTCCGTTTCCACCTGCAACATTCTACACAGTATGTTCACGCCTCCTTTCCTTTAAAGCATCAATATATTACAGGCATCCCTTTCTCTACCGCTTTTGTTTTCGTAGTAAACACCACTTAAACACGAAAAATGTCATAACTATAGCGGGCTAAATTATCGGATCAGGTACTGTCAACAAACCTTTCCTGCTACAACTATGATAAGGCGAGCCAAGCGACAAATTCAGCTAAATATCATAAATACTGAAACCAAGTATAGGCGAAAGCCCGAATTGCGGAATGCAACAGTGGGCTACATGACATAGACAAAAAGACTCCAAAAGCTTGCAATTATAAATTAAAAATTATAGATTATAAATATAGAAAGATAAAGACAAAGAAGCACAGTGAGGGTTTCCTCTCCATGTTAGCGAAGTGGGGCGGAAAAAAGGGGCTAAAAATTCTTTGCAGTGGTCGAGGCAAAGTGAAGAGCGACAAGACCGGCAAACAGGAAACCCGGAAGACACTAGCTTGAAATGGTTTGTAGTTTCAGTAAACGGTTCACAATCATCAAAAAAAAAAAAGCGGAATGTTGAAGTCACAAATAAAGACGATTCCTCCTAGCTCCCTATAATATATATGTAGGGAGGATATGGCGCCCAAATTGAGAATGTTTCTTACCCTTTGCTTCTAAGGCTATACCTGAATACAAACCAATACCTTAACAATTTTTAAATACGCTAAAGGTGTCATGTTTAATATAGTCACCCTTCATGGTATCAATTTAGAACCTAAACTATTTGTTTTCAGAGTACTTTTCTTTTATTGAACAGATGTAACCTTTTAATAGTAACTATTAATTAGACAATATTGGTACGTATAATTTTTTTTAAATTCATTGAAATAAGTCCCGTCCAAATCCGCTACATACGAAAATTCCAGTGGAATAAAATTTTAGGCTAATATCAGGCCAAAACGCCCCAACAATGCAAAAGCTAAGCACAGTCGAAAAGGCGCAAAAAGATTGTTAAAAGTCTTTAAAGGACTAACCGTTATAACTTATTTGGACGTCCCAACTGGCAGTTGGTGTACCGCTCTCCCAGATGGCTGATAATTTCTGTGTCTAAAATTCAGGTGTATCAGAGACATCTTTTCGAGTCCTTTTTACAAATTTTCAAACTTCGAAATGTAAAATCTGTTCATAATCTTCGAGTTTGCTTCACAGAAATTCTCCTTGAATCTCCTTTTATAAGCCGTATGAAAACCGTCAACATTGCACGAAAGCAATCTTGGTAGGAGTTTGTCCAGTGTAAAAATGATGCATAACAGCTTACCTTCGTTTGGTGACGTATCGTTTTCCACCATAGTCTGCTTTTGTTTTGCTTAAAAAATAACAAGTTACCGTTAAAACATTGTTTATAGAGACTTTTAATCATTGTCAAACAGAAATCGGCCGAACGGCCTTTTGTTTCCGTTGACTGAACACCGAGGTGACTAACAGCCAAGGTATCCACATTTACCTCCAGCCCAGTACAAATAAGCTATGCAATGAAACATGTAGCCCATATAATTGCTTACAGAGTATATTATTTTTAAACAACTGTGATAAGAAGTTTCTTGTAAATGCTTCTGGCTATCTCCAAAATCATCTCGTTGCAGTTTGGCAAGACTTTATTTCCTTAACAATGGGCAACAGGGATCTTGCTGGCAGCGCCCCATCTCGCGAACGATTACCACAATAAAAAAAATTTATACTTTAATTTGATGGCCTTTTTTCACTTCTCGTGGTCAAATAGAAATATTTTTATTTAGGCGCATATATATATATATATATATATATATATATATATATATATATATATATATATATATATTATTCCACAAAAATGATTTAGTCTAGTACAAATAGTTATTCCATCGTCGATCTGCATCATGACAACTAGATATATAATACTTCAGCTTACTGACACACAAACGTTTTCCATATGTGAGCATTTTTTTCATTACTCAATTACATGGTATACGATGGTTGAAAACTTGACAATTACATCGTTTTTAACTTATTACGCCTTGTTTTAATACCTTGTGCCACTTGTCGAGGTGGAATTTTTAAACACAAATGTACTCAACTTCCTCAAACAACATAGTTAACCTGACCTGTATGTAGATATTTGATCAATATCAAACGCTGCAAATATAGGACCGCTATTTCCTTACTCCACTACGACTACACTTCACTACACCTTACGTACTGCTAGGTCGTTTCGTTCGGTTCCAATCGAAAAAATATAAAAATTGCTCCCTCGATGTTTTATTTGCTAAGAAAATTTCTGTCACGTTGAACGTAGAAGTATTTTGGTTTACTAACATCCGATAATATTCGCCTGTCTTATCCGGTGTCACTCTTCTCGTACAAGATTAATTTTTTGAGGTAACAGACGATCTGGCCTAAACTTGTTTTCTTCAGTCAGTGAATAAATAGGCATTTAATAGATGGAAAGGACACAATATAGTCAGTTACATAGACAAGGAATAGCTGGTTATATCCGAAAGGATTCTTATTAAATGTTGGGGAGTTTACGTCTGGCATTACCGACAGACGTCATTTTAGACAACAATGTGTCTGTGTACTGCCAGTTTCAAACATGAATTGTTTCATCTGAACTTTTAGTGAATTTTATAGATAAACACAGAAACTGAATAATGCCTATTGGATTTCCGTGATTGCAGTTCCGTATTATCGGTTCATGTTGGTGTTATGCTGCTTTGGTGCCTATGCGGGTCAAGTAGCTCGTTGATCGCAACTCAACTCGTCGGTTACAAGCTCGACAATTTCACTACGGATTTTTTCCCCATGGAGTTATGTTCAAAGCCTTGAGGCAGCTCTTCAAGTCAAAACAAACCAGCTTTGCTTAGAGACATTTAACTGTTCATGAATTTAGATTATATCGGTTCCTCCTATTGCGTGAAGCTGTATCCCAAGGGCCGGTAATGTTTGTTTGAATTTGTTAGAAACGCGTCGTTTTCAGCTCCTTCTCGGATTTATGATAAACTGGCAGTAAGTGGTCTCATTACTGGTATTAATGTTCGTTAAACAATATTAGCATCTACTACAAGCGATCAATCTTCTCTCTGCCTGCCGTTTCGTTCTTCAAATATAATGAAATAACATGCATCCCTATATTTTCCGAAACCGTCCTTCGGTTACTATGGCATGACGTCCGCCTTTTATGTATCAGCTGAATATTCTAACATAGCGTCTCAATATGCTAGCTTCTGCGAATGCAAGGCTACATCTATTCTCATTTAATCTGTACAATCATTTAAAGCATAACAGTAAACAAAGGCAATCGATACTGGATAAAAAAAACTGTGAGATCAGGTAGCGTCATAATGCAAAATTGCCAAGACTCTATACATTAGAAGGTTACTTGGTTTGCTTTGTTGTTAATTGCAGATGATTGCACTAAACATTATTTAGCAGTATAGTAAATAAAGAAACATTGTGTAAAATGTACTAATCTAAGTTTTAACTTAAATCAACTCTGGGGATCGGTCCACACGATCAACCCACGTTGACCACCTAATCTTCCACTACTTAATTAGCTTACATAACCAACACGCACCCATCATCCAGGACCTAGAATATACGACCACATGACCCTTGAATAATAAATACCGGTCACAGTTCGATATATCTTTACTGTCGGTGTGTATATTTCCCCAAATGTGGACCTACTTAATAATGAGAGATAGCTATATCACTTACACACAATTATCGATTTCGAAGGTCGAAAAAGCGGAGCTTTTTAATACTTATGCCGTCTCCTGAAAAAATGGCCGAAGAAGTTTAAAAAGAAAAACTCTTGAGGACTGAGTAGTGACGAATTATATAGGTCGTAAATGTTTAATCGGGAAATGTATGTCCAGCCATTCAGCAAGGATCAGGAATAATGCCGAGAACATGTCAGATAATTTCTCAAGGACATACACAACCGGAGTTTCTAGGCCATGCTAGCCTCAGTACAAAAATAAGCTGGTACAAATTACGAAGCAAACTAGAATACTACTGACCGACTCGGCAGTCGACGGATTAGTGATAATGCCCAATAGACGGGCAAAAAAATGTCGACAGGTAAGTAGTGCTCAAAGGAAGTCGTCAAACAAATATTGGCAAAAACCATTACTAGACCGTAAATGCAGGAAGTGCTTAGAAGAGGACAAAAGGTCTACCAAAAAAACTCCTATTGCGTTATTTGAATCGAGCGAGCCTGAGAACGCTCAGAAAGGAATTATGGCCACTAATAGCATAGAGCAAATATAACCGTTGGAAATACCTTCTCAATGAGGTAATTAATGCCGTGCGTGTCATCACATTGTCTGTAAATATGGGACAGTACATTTAACATACAAGTGGACAAGGTAGATACGCATATTCTTAAATTAAAATTACACTTTGCCGCTGAACTAACTGCAAACTTGTTACTAGTAAGCAGAGAAAGTCTTCTGCTTCAGTCTCGTTCACATACCTGGTGACGACATCCTCGGCGGGTAGACGTTTAGCACGGGCATATGTACTAGTAATCCCGACCTAAATAACGTCCTGTATATAACGTGCACATAACCATCGCTGTTTTTATATTCACGTTTCTTTTTATTTTAAATTAAAGAAGAAGCTTAGCCCACTTCTTTTTATGGATCATTATCTTTAAATCATAAAACAATCAGCACTCGGTGCTCCCGTAAAGGGTGCTCGGTGCAAACGGAACGACTTTTGATAGTGGCTGATTACTAATTTGGGGATTCGGTTGTTACGACTTTAGCTCAAAGACTTTTGTACGTACTAGGTTTCATATTGATCATCTCGATCCCTTCTCAAGCAACACAGCTTCGATGTGGAACCAATGATCGCCTATACTTCCTCTACTGCTATTTAATTGCTTAACTTAAATTTCATCGCACGTGTTCCACTAGAAAGTGGTCATACATTTCCTGCTCAGAATTTCTGTTGTCTTTTTAGATGTGGAATTTTCATTGCTTGCAGTTTAGAGCAAGAATACATCCCTGAAGAGGACGTGTTCCATCTGAAAACCCAGCATTTCATCAGATATGTTCGCATATGACAAAAACAGCTGGTATTTTTGTCTCACTAAACTCAGCAGTCGAGAAACCTTTTGCACCAATTTGGGGAATTCAACTGCCTAGTCCCGCATTGATTTTTTGCATATAGGAAGATGATGAAAAGTGTTTGATTCTTGATTATCGCCGGGACTTGCGCAGTCCTGCGGAATTGACTTGACTGGCCGCTAGAACTTTACATGGCTTTAGCTCTACAGGCTTTGCCTCTTACTCCGTGATCTCACGTGGCAGCTGCTCGCAGCAGATTCTCTATTTATGAGGATAAACGTTTTTTTGAAAAGACAATTCGCGGTGTCCTGAGGCCCGGCTGATTATGAATCTGTGCCACTGAAAAAAAACTGTGAATATGTTTTTACTTGTAAAAAATTGTCCTCAGAGCTTTTAAACGATATTTTCGATTGCACGTGAAGCTTTGTATGCATTTTTTGTGCGTCCGCTGTGTCATAGATTGTGATTTCTAAACTGTAAGCAGTATCAAGGTTAGGTTGAGCTGTACGAAAGTAAACTTTGAACAGCGCAAAGGCTGATACGTGAAGTCGTCGCAGGATAAGGCGACGAAGAGTAACGCCGCGGACAGTCCTGTTTCAAGGCAAATTAACCACACTAATGCCTGTATGCGTCTTAAAACAAGGGTTCTCCGTTCTTGCCGTGGTTCTTGAGCATATCATTTCGGTTTCTTTTGTGCCGTCATTTTCGGAAAGTGCATGACTGTAGGGACATCTCGTGCAGAATTAAGATATGTGAAGGTGTACAGTTGTCTGACCTCAACATAGTCTTGAGTTTATCAAAAAAGAACGCTTTTCATATTTGCCCTTTGCATGCTGAAGCTCGTTTAAAAGCCATGCCTTCAGATCGCCGCATAAAATGCTGATAACACCATATCAAAAAAAAAAACGGATCATCTAACTGTTCGCTGCATTTTGGTAGCGACGCAAATGGTACGTTTACGTTTAGTGCTTTTATATGCTCGTGTACAGCTGAGTTTGCTTTGAGCGTGATCCAAGCATGCATAATTCTCACATATTGGCCAACAAACTGTAAATGTACCATCTTGTGGTACGCTAAACGCACGACGCGAACGGGCATAGGTTAAGACAAGCTCATCTGAAGTGTCTGTAGTTGTAGCTTCTGCTTAGCCTTGAGCTGTATCTTAAAACTTGTGCCTAAAATTGATGCGCCCATAACTTTAACAAGCTAGAGTATCTGAAGAAGGAACACTACTCAAAAAGTTGCAAGGTACCTAACGGTATTTGCTACTCCTATTATAGTGGTCGTCTGTGAAAACGAACAGATGCAAGTTATTTAGAGAATAATTATGAAGAGAAATTTTTAAATTTTTATTATTTTAGTAGCTTGAAAGTAAGACTGTGAGAAACATATAAGAGAGTGCTACACTGAGATAGAAAAAGATGGATACTAAGTGAATCATAAATATAAGAAAACAGGATTGTGACATAAAAGCAAAGAGGATGCACCAATTTGCAATCTATTTATGTTTTATAATCAATTTATTTATGTTTAATATTTACAGTATTATGTACAAGACGAGGATAGATATTCTCAGTAATAATAATAAACTAACGGCTGATAATTATTCACAGGGTAATGTTACATGGTTTATCAATGACTGTACTGCTCTCTAGCCAAGGTTGGACCGCTTCAGAATCTCAATGAGTCCCTCTTCACGATGTGTCAGATTCATTGTCGTGGCCACTCGATCTGAAGTGCCAATAAGGTCTTCTACCTCGAGTGGCCACCGTCAAAACAGCTTAGAATCAAGATACAAATGTGAAAGAGAGTGAGAGATCCACCATTTTCTGTAACTTCGTAGAACGTCTGTGGTAGCTTAATCACTTAGCCATCTTTTAGGACGGGTCCCTTTTTACGTAGCAGACCTTATAAGGTCAGAACATGCGCCCGTACAGGAAGGAATATGGTTTGTAAGACTCCATTCTATTTAAGTTAATACATAATATTATAGATAATGTTTGAAATCAATAGAACGCAATTGATTTAAAACGTAGAGCATATATACAAAATAGCTAGTAATTGCAGCTAAACGTAATTGCTGTTATGTATCTCCGTGAAGAGCATCGTCTTCGAAATTGGCTTAATTACAAAATGGAAGTTGATTTTTTTAAATCCATCTATTAATTCAAGGTTTTCCAGGTGAAGCATTTTACCGTGCTGCCGACTATGTTTATTTCCTCTAACAAAATCATTTTGGCATTTAAGTTATTGATAATATACTTTAACGGATGTTCTCCTTGATCGATGCCGAATTTTGCGGACATGTTTAGTCTATATATAAATATATATATATATATATATATATTGAAGGACACTGATATTTGAAGACGTTTGCGTATCTAGTCCATAACGATCACTATTGCGCTTTCTTAAATGTATCAACCGAAACGGGCTTTCTGTACGCGTTTCGTTTTATGTTTACACTTTTGCCCCTCTCGGGTCTCTGACTCACTATTGCAATTATACGGTGCTATCTGCCATTTCGATTCGCAAGCAAAACTGTTTTGCTTAAGAAACAGCACCCAATATTTTATGAGACAACTATGTTTATCATAGTGCTTACGAACAGATATACCGCACTACAGATTATCCCATGCTAGAGTGGAAACACAAAAGAACCACGCATTTGATGTCTCTAGCGTACGAGATGCTCGTAGAAGATTTCTACAGCGGGCAGTTCGGATGATTTCACTGTGCCTCAGATTTAAATGTCGTGTGTCTTACACGGGCCGACTTTACAGGACTTGGTTTGAAATGGGAAGGTGTCAAGTCTGGACTGTTTTTTGGAGGCGATGCGTCTGTGATGGGCTGGAGTTGGTGTGCCTCCTTCTTACGCGCCGATCTTGGAGCTGGTTTAGGTTGAGCTATCACACCAGCAGGGTCAGGGTCAGCACATATCAAGTGGATATCTTCAGTACTTACTGGCTCGTATCCACGATTCACGTGGCCCATCTGAAGCATTATTTAAAACAGACGTATTACTACCAAAACGAGTAGGAGACAGTGGAAAAAACATGCTGCTTTCAAAGCACCTGTACAAGCTAGCCTGTATAGTTAAGCAGTATGTGTCAAATGTACATGAAACAATGATTTTAAATGTTCATGTTCAAGGTACATACCTTTGCTGTGGATGTGTCATGAGCGAGAGATTCGCTCATGCTTCCGTAAGTGGAATCGTCTGGGCTGCTTTGTTTTGCAGCTTTGTTACTTTGTGCATTTTCAATTGCGTCCTCTACCCGGACGACTGTTTCCAAATTTGGCACCTGATGTTTGCTGGTCAGTACACTCATTGGTAACACCTAAGGGGCAAGCATTTACGTCATGACACTGGCTTCCGACGGCCAAGTCTCTAGGGCACACAAGCTGCTAAGAGACCAAGCCGTCGCTACAATAGCTTAAATCCATTGGCGATTAGTCCTGATGTAAAAGATACTTTGAAAATATATCCTTTGTATATATAGCAATTATTGTAGGAATAAAGAAAACCTATAACCTTCCCCTTGAACAAGTGCATTCTACTTGATATGCAGCCCACATCGTATGTTTATAGAATGCCTTTAAAATCAATTTTACATTAAAATTCATGACGCCATTAGGTTCGCTAGCGGTCACTCTGTTACGGGAACCTGGTTTGCCACACTCCTTAGCCGAATAATAGATTCAGCGCAAGCACTCAACTACATTTTTCCTACAAACTATTTCACTTTAAGAGTTGTCATCATGATTAATTCTAGGACACCAACGACGATTAAACATCTACTTTCATATAAGCGGAGAGGAGAACTTTAATAGATATTAACTATTTCAAGAAGAACAGATACCTGCCATACCTTGTGTAGTTCCGAAGGTTTGATCTTATTCTTCAGAGGTCCACCTATATTTCCTTTGTGCGGCATAGCGTATTTGAGTTTTTCCCAAAACCATTTTTCACCCCATTCGAGGTACGTCTTCGTTCCTAATAAAAAGCGCAGGTCAGAGTCAAGATTTTCCTTCGGTGGTATCTCGCCTTTGATGATAACTATTAGCCGGTTGATACGGTCTTCCATCATTTGAACATATGCGGTACGAAACTCAACTTCAAACCATAATGATTCGAGGAAATCTTGCGATAAAACAAGAATTGTGCGTCGCGAATTCTGAACAGAGTTGACAATATTCCATGATATATTATAGCCAGGCAGCCAGTCTCTCTCGTGAATGCAGAGCTTAAAAAGATTTTCTGAGCTTTCGTCACCCTGAGGTTTTTCCAATTCTTGCAAGAGCGCCATTACGATATCTCTGTCATTCGAAGAGTACGATATGAACGCGTCAAACTTTTTGTCCTCGTCGAGATCGCTCTCACTGAACAAGCAGACGAATACATTGTAAAAATTTATATACACATATGCAATAATCAGCTGCCGATTATTGTAATACAGTGCGATAATCAGTAGCGTGACAATAAAAATAATCGAGAGAGCAATTACAGATGCTAGATAAGCAGACACGTCCGGCGGGCAAAAGATATCATCGGGAATGTCATTCAACAGGGACACATCCGTGCCGTTTACGGTGTACGCGTTTTTGCAGGTGATCGATCGATAATCAGGTATATTGAGAATGTTCGAAAGTAAGAAACGCTTGAATTCGAGGGCAGAACAATCGCAGGTCCATGGATTATGCGACAGTGCCATCCGGTATGACGTATTAGAGGTAATCGGCCTGAGCACTTCTAACCGATTGCCGGTTAATGATAAAAGCTGCAAATTTGGCGGCGTATTAATGAAGAGCTCGTCAATATTATCGATATTGTTACCGTCCAACATAATTTCTTTGAGGTGCGTATATTGCGCCAGTTCGGTCGGGTACCGTTTAAGTACGTTTCCTTCAAAATCGAGATGAGTTACATTTAGGGGTAGCTTAGGTATGCTAGCTAGTCCAAGTTCGCGGCAACGGACGTGCGTCGAGGCATCGTGTGCTCTAAGAAAGCATTCACATCCAGGTGGACAATCGTTGATTTTGCACGAGAGTAGATCTAATTTAACCGACAACAATGTTTCGTCTCGATCTGAACACTGATAATTCTCCACGTGCTCGAACTCCGCCACTTCGGGTTTCATTTCCTTTCGAAGATAGCGCAGGAAGTTATAAATATGGCAGTCGCATTTAAACGGATTCCCTTCAAGATCGAAACGATGCGTACCCACAGCAGAATTATATACTGATTCTTGTTTAGGATAACTTCTTGCCAAATCAACAGTCACATATTCAAGCCGATTGCGTCGCACAAATACTTTTGTATCTAAACTTGCAAACAGTGGCACTTCCAAGTACCGTATCGCATTATCATCGAGATCAAGAATGGACAATTTCGGTAGAGTGTGATATTGAATCCAGGGAAAGGCAGTTAGCTCGTTTTTGGAAAGGTACACTTCGCGTATAGGTGACCCTGTGCTGAATGTTGGGGTCGTTCCCCCAAACGTTTGCAGTTGGTTTTCCCGAATATCAAGCTTTTCCAGCTTTTTCAAATGATACAGCGCGTTCTTTTCTATTTTGCTTATACGGTTTCGACTTATATCAAGTGTCTGTAAGCTAATCAGGTTCTCGAAAGCCTTAGATGAGATCTCTGTTAGGTGATTTCGGTTTAGGTTGAGTTCTTTAAGAGCATACAGCATTTCAAACTCGTTTCTAAGAGTCCGAATACGATTTCCCCCAAAAAATATTTTCTCGAGTTTAGCATTTTCCAAGAAGAAGCCCTCAGGGAACTCCGATAGGGCATTACCGGAAAAGTCAATTATTCTTATGACTGGTGCATTGGCAAAGAGCTTAGCAGGAACCGAAGAAAGATTACATGACCGGACGTATGTGGCATTCAGTTGGAACATTCGGTCGAAAAGTCCATCAGGAAGCGAACCAATTGACATTGCTTCGCTGAAATGAAGCGTCTCGAGGCTAGGCGTACCTGCGAAAAGTTTGGGCGGGACCGACTTGAGATTAGACCACGAGTCCATTTTAAGGTATGTCAATGAGGAAAGGCCCTCGAAAAGGTTCTCCGGAACTTCGCTTGCCTGGACTGCGTTTAGCTCGAGCGTTGTTAAATATCGGAGGCTAGCAAAAGGTTTTGATTCAAATCGAGCGATGGGATTTTTCGCTAGATACAAGGTAGTTAGTGCTTCCAGCCCTGCGAACATGCTTGAGGTAACAGTTGTAATAAGATTCATAGAGATATCCAGTGTCTTAAGCTTTTTCAAGAGATTTACAGACAGCGGCATGCTCTCAAGGGCATTTGCTTTCAATGACAATGCCGTAAGCGATGCGAAATCCTTGAAAAAATCGTCGCTTAGACTTGTGATTCCGGGCGCATCGCGGTTCGCTGACCAAATGATGTGAAGCTCAACAATCGAAGTTGCAATTCCATCAAAGGCTGACGGAGCTGGGGGTCCTCCGGGCGTTCGTGGCCGATCAAGTTCCAACTTTGTAATATTTCTCATGTTCCCCTCTGCAAAGCAAAAATATCACGTTGTAACACTGTGCTACCATTTACAGTTATTTAAGAGAGGGTGATTTCATATACCGTCTTTATTTTCCTTATAGACTACTTTGTTCATTTATAAATCAAGCGCTTTTTCTCAGTGTTTAAGAATCGTATAAAATAATTAAGCGAAAAATTATATTTTGCTCTCTCTACGAACCGAAAATGTTAACAAACTTTAGCCTTCCTGTAGGCAGGTTGCAGTGAATGTATTTGATGCTAGTGACGTCCTTGATGTTAAGGTACTTAAATAATCCACGTACATTTGGTGCCGGCTGTGCAATGAATTTCTCTGCGTTGCAATCAATCTGTGATTAAAATATGAAAATAATAGCAGGGAAAATATCAGACACATGGACGATGTGAAATATGCTTGCTTGAGCCAAATTGTTTGTCTAGAAAAGCCATTAATATCGTTAATACGATCAATTACTATTCAAACTAAGGCTGATATATTACTTCAAAAAAATCTATGATATAGGTGATGTCGTACTGTGACGTGGGAGCCGTAGGGTCTCTTCGCATATTCAATTTCTAGAGCAGACTGCGTCTCTTCTAGGCCTGTTTTTCGTAGGAACTCGTCAATGGGAAATGAATTAGCGTCACGGCGGAACCTCTGAAATGGTGCGTGTCATAGCATAAACGTGTCACAATTCATGCTCAATTTTTTCACCCAAGAAACCGAAATGTCTAATAGCTTAAGGGGTCTAAATTAACATAGCAATGTCGTTATTTGTAAACATCCTCTTCGTATAATTTGCGCATGCTCTTGGTCGTCTTAAACCAAAAAATACCTGGCTTGCCGTCTAAGTTTTCCCTATGAACCCTTCGAATCACTACCATATAGAAGTTATATTATTTAACCCAAATGTCAGTTCGTTTGTTTCAATACCCAATCACCCTCACCTGATACCAATAGGTGCCCTCTAACAGCGGGCTATCATCGAATCTACATCCTAAAAGCAACTTTTTTGTCAAGAGTAACTATAGAAAATCGAATCCGCATTTATTTCACGGAGTACTTATTTACCTCTTAGACACTCACCGGCTTCGGTGTCGTTGAGTGTTGGACCAAAGTTGTGGCAGAAATCCGTAACTCACGAGCAATCGTTGACGTGGTGAGTTTGCTCGGCCCAGACATAGCCGTAGGCTGGGGTGTCGTATTTGCCCCTACTACTGTTGGAGCACGAAGGCCAGATGCCTTAGCATCGCTATCTGTAGTAGCAGCAGTAACAGCTGAAGAAATCGGATTCATAATACTAACAGTGGCAATAGATTCCGGCAACCCAGTGGGCGAGACAGTAGAATTTTCTGCAGAAACCATTACCCTGCCGGGTTTGTCTTGATTTGGTTTAAATGTGCTATTTGGGTTATGCGTAGTAAAAGAAGGCGAAGTGATAGGAGCTATTGTGGTAGATATAGTTGTTAGAGGATTGGATGCAATGATTTCTTTGACAATTTCTGTTTTATTAAGTGTGTACATAGTCGATATAGAAGTTGTCATAATCAAAGCTAACATTGAGTCTTCCGTATTTAAGAAAATAGCTTTAGGAGAAGTTGCCTGTGGTTGAGAGGATTTCAACGTAACAGGGTAAGATGATTCAGATTGTGCGGGGGTGGTAATGAACGAAGGAGTTGTGGATTCAATGCTGTTGGTGACATCTGTGCTGAACGTGAGGATTTGGGCTGTGCCTGCTGTAAAAGTACACGAATCGGTGCAAGAATATCGAGGCAATCAGAATTTAACAGCTCGCAAAATTGTAACCAGAGGCATGGCACGTTTGAAACTGTCGACTTAGATAGAAATTATAAAAATGATGTTTCTTGAAGCCATGGTCGTATGTTTATTATGCAATAAACCACAATACTGCACATATATTAAAATAAAGATCTTCTAATTAAATAACTGAGAAAAATCGTTCTTTTTTTTTTATATATCCTGTTCAGACTACGAGGTGCAAACGACTCACTTCTTATGCCGTCATCTTGATCTTTGTTTTCCTCAGCCGCATTACCAGTGATTTCATGGGCGCTTGTTGTATCATCGATTTTGCTTTCCGTTAAGGCTTTATTGGTCTGCGGAGTTACTTTGGTCAGATCCGTTGGTATGGTCGTTTCAACTATCAGGAATTCAGTCCCTGGAAAGGAGGCCGTTGATATTTCAGGTGGCGTGAACGCTGAGCCTTCTGGTGTACTTGCAGCTAAATTAATTAACGTCGTTGAAGGTAGACTAATGTTAATCGAGGGGTCCTTCGTTGTAGCAAATCTGTCGACTGCTATCGTAGTCCCTTGCGGGATTGGAGTCGTCGTGTCGATGGACTCGGATGTTGCAGTGGATGTGGAATTGACTTTGACGGCTTTGCTCGTGCGGCTTGTATCCATGGCAGGGGATGTCACAGCAGAAGTCACTAAAACGTCAACTGCAGGCGGCATCAGAGTCGTTGTCGTCCACAGAGGCGTCAGGTTAGGTTTTGCAGAGGTTGTTTCGGGGGGATCCGGCGGCTCCATTGGAAGTTCTCCGTCTCTAAAGCAGATCCACCTCCAGCCACTTTCGGAATCGCTAAAAATTGATCAAGCCCATAAAATAGAACATTGAAGCATAAGCGAGTTCTCATATACAGATCAAATATTATTCGAACGACACCCTTTTCATGTATAAGTATGGTCGTGAATGAGTACTAAGGCACATAGCACATATATGTTCACATTTATCTATCATTTTTGCAGCGAGGTTCGGCTTGGCTCAGATATTGCACTCTGGGCACGTAAATAAGACCTACAGATATAGCCTAAGCTGATAAGGTTTGCACAATACGTCTGCGGGAGAACCAGAAGCGCATCTATTAATGTTACTTAATTTTTCTGGCTACTATAGTTTACGAAATTTCGATACTTTCGGCATTGTGAATTAACTACATGACCTCTGCCTCAACTTGATTCGACAACTTCACCCATGGTTACTAAAAGCATAACAGCAATTTATACCGTACTATATCTACTAGTTTCGCCTACTGTTTGTAAACCCTTTTACTTAAAAATATCATTTATCAAGTTACAATTTCAACATTATTGACGTAAAACAATAATGATGATATTATGATTCCTCTAAGGTCAATTAAAAACAATAAAAAAAAAATTACATTTTTCGAATAAATCGAATTTAGAGAAAAACGTGTGAGATAATTTTCTGCTTCAAATGAGGAGAATAACGTCGTAAGTCTACACTCGTAGATGCGCCATGGTCTCGCTCGCACAATACGATCCTACATTTCTCGTCACAAAACGCATGTTCACTCTGTAAGTATCTACTACGTACTTACAGGGGCTCTTTGCAGCATTTGAATCCAGGAAAATAGACCAGATTGGACTCTAGGCAGTGTTGGGCAAGTGTTTCATGCAGCAACCAGCTCAACACGGATGATAGTAAAAGCGTCACGAAAACCCAGCGTCGTATAGCCGTACCCGTTAGACATCCGCGTTGAGGTAACCGAGCGTGGCGACTAGATGATGACGTTACTTCGAGATCGCACCACAATGATTTACAGGACAACCTGAAACCCAAACAATACAGAGTAAAAGAAAAGCTTCTAATTGTCTTAGTCACCGGTAAAATACCCCTCAGCACCGAAGCGGCGTTGTATAATATTCTGCTAAAGTTCCTCCTATCGAGCCTTCCTAAATATATGTAGACGAATAATCATTTCCACACGCACTTATCCGATCAAAGCGATATTAAAATTGGAGTTTAAGATCAAGATTGCTTTGCTAAAAGATGAGAGGATTAATGCAGGGCAAGTCTATTGAAGTGGAAGTCATGGAGTATTGACGGTTCACTTTCAGGATCAATACTGTGTGATAAGTTTCAGGATGGCTTTCAAAGATGTCCTTTTACAGCTAAAGCCATCTATCTTCCATCAAACGCACCTGAGAGCTGTTGGAGCATATGCAATCTAACGCAACGCTTGATTAATCCGAGGCTATTACCAATCAGGTAAAAATGCGGATAAATGTCGGTAGTACAATAGCGCATCTCGACTAAGCTGGGGCTTGACCACCGCTTCGCGTCAGCAGGAATTCCAATTGATCGATCAGGAATATGTTGTATTGATATCTACCAGTCAAGCCATCATCGACAAACTACAGAAATCATTACTCGATAAGCAGATCGTGTAGCTTTAGAACCAGTGTCCATCGCATAGCGGCTACAGATTATGAGGCATTGACGGCCATGCGTGCACACAAGTTTTGTATAGTAGCCGGACACATCAGTTCTTACAACAGGATTGTTAGCCACTATCATAGCGAAGTGACCAAGTTTTGATTCTTGTGCAAACAAATCCATATAGATTGAAAAAAAAAAAGACTTTATGGCAACTGCTGGTAGCAAACGAACGTCTCCTGCGGTTTCTAATGGATGCGTGTGTTCAACAATCTTATGTCATCACAGTGGGTAGCCATTTAACTGAATTCATAAGAAATGCACCATCTCAACAACTCAAATTGGAACGGATGAATATTTTTACCAAACACCGCTTCCATATAAACCCAGTAGTGATCGACGTGCTTACGACGTTTTGTTAAGAAATAAAACAAGAAAGTCTAACGGGAGTTCATTTTGTCTACCCTGGTACCATCAACGACACCAAAGATTCACTAAGACATGTTTATCACTTTACTTTGCTTTCTATTAAGAACATATTTTTTTCCCGCAGGAACGTCGTGAAAGATTATATGTGACATGACAAATACTCAATTGTAGTAGCGTATGGCTCAATGTTATAGAGGCTGAGAGTTTCGAAAAAGGTAGGACAAACCGGCTCTGGATCAGGGTGACGCTGAACAAAATTCATTTTTGTGATACGAGAAATGAAATAGATTAGTTGGTAATAGATTAATTAATTGGGCGGCCACTGTAATCAAACACTTAATGTAGTTAAAATAGTGATACCTCTACAATAGTTCTACTTGCCCACAAAAAAGCTTCTCGGGATCACCCCCTACACACATTACCCGAGTTCTCTTTAATGTCATGGTAAAAACTGTTGACTGAAGCAGCACTAAGTATGATCCGATATACGTCGATACAGTGATTAAGCTTTACGTGTGAAACCGCTTTGAGGCATCCTTAGGCCAAGGCAAGCGTACCTAACGTTCCCACTCGTAGGTTCCCGCCTCTTGCTTTCTCCATTCTATGAATACTTGCTACAGTTATGAGTGTATCGCTCGTGAGGTTACACAGAGAACGAAAAAATGCTTTCTAATCACTTTCTACAAAGGACACAGCACAACGTATTCATTGAAGGATTCCCTTCGCTAAAAGGGTACGTATCTGTTGTTTAGCAACTTAGGGAGAACTGGCAGGCTCTGACGTAAACGTAGACAAGCTAAAAATATCCGCTTTTTTTCCTTCACTTGCTAAACCGGTCCTGAATATGAAGTAAACCTCAGTCTGTTGATCACCTTCTTTTTGAATAACGACGCTGTTAACCACTACCGCAGTACTTCAGATAACGAAAACGTTATGTTTAGATGTAAATACGTTTACAGTATGTACGTTCTGGTCGCAGCATAGATGCTGGTCGAGTCGTACTTCTTTGCCCCTTCTGAAATATCCGCAGCCAATGCGAAATTGCAAAAATTACATATTAAGTGTTTACTGAAGTGTGCTATAAAACTTGTATTTTTTTTTTCACTTCAAAACAAGTTTTGAAAACCTCACTACTTACGTAGCTTGATTTCTTACAATGCGAACTGTTCGAAGTAGAAATTTCAAATTTAGACTCCGCTTCGCATTCTCCTCAAGAATTGGCTAAAATTTCATAACACGATCATAATTATCGTCATCGTGCATACTGCGACATGGTAATCGGCGGAATTTTTTAGCTGACAATTGGCTAGTGGTTTCAATCACGAAGTATAATTTTGTAGGCACTTTTTAAGTTGCAAGTTGTTTGCAAGATATTGCAGTTCCGTAGCAGAAACTTTCATCAATCACGAATAATAGTATGATTCGCGTTTTTCAATTTCTATTCCCGATATCGTATCGTCTGACTTGAACGTTGCCGAAACCCCTACTTCTTTAACAGATAACCTTTGAACATATATAGGCACTTCGTGAAACTTTCTTCAAACTTGGAAAAAGAATTTTCAAACATTCGAATGCAATAGTTGATTGCTACAAAATTTAGCCTATAATAACAATAGTAAGTGTGAAGCTAATAGACATATCTGTATGTAGATCTAAATTTATCCTGCCGCCTGTCGCTGTATTGCCGTTACAATGCGATGGTAATTTAATCTTCGTTTTTCAGTTTCGATCGGTTTGTGTCCCAAATAATTCGGTTCTCAGTTGCCTATTGGGATTGCGCTGTGTGGTGCATGAACGCACTTTATTCGCCCGTGTATCGATGTATGTATCGCGATGGAAACGTGCGTGGGCGGCTGGCTGGGTGGGTACGCAAGCGTCGGGTGCAAGCCATGCAACTTTAGCGGGGCCAAATGAGGTTAGCGGCCCGGATGTACAGATATATTGTAAGAGATCCGTTACACAGTTCTAGCAACGTCGCCATCATCGAGCAGCGGCGCGTCCGCGTAAGGCCCCAGCCGTCCTGTTCGATTCAACACGACATTGTCGTTTGGTGACGTAACGCGGTCGACAACTACGACTGCGACCACGCCAGTACGACTAGCACAATCGTTACCGCGAAGACCTTATGATAAAGCGACAAGAAGAAGAAGCCGCGTAAAAGATGACGACGACGACAAAGCAAAAGACAACACGCAAAGAAACTTAACCGTTACGCGTACCCGTCCTTCCCTCTGCTTGTGTGTCAATTGACAACGAGTCCTTTATCCTATGTCAGTTCAATGTGACACTACACTACAAATGGCGGAGTGGTTAAAGCCCTACGGATTTAAGCCCACGACACAAGCTGCAGCAGAAACAGCCCAACTACTTTTACTGCCATCGTTACCAGTTACACCCATTACACGCCCAGATAGACAAGACCGATTGTAAGTTGTGGAAGTGGTCTTTTCTATGTTGGGGTAATGTTGTCCTCGAACGTAAGGAATAGCCTGCAGCCACAAAAGGACGAACTGCAGCTGAATAGACTGACCAGTTGTTTCCCTACTTTGTATGCTCCAGTTCAGTGGAGCGTTTGGTTTGGTGGGGTCTGCATAAACGGCAGTGATCAACCATGAGACCTGCATGTGGGGATCACAAATATAACAGTACCAGCTACAACTGGCTTCGACGACACGCTTCTTCAACGACCGGCAGCGAAATGCCGGGCTATCCAACAACGACGCCAGCAGTAACAGATAATTATCAATATTGCTAGAACAACGATAACATTCAACAATATTTTAGCGGTAGCAGCAAAGATATTATACCGTACTAAATGCAATACATGTACATATGTACGTATGTATGTCTGAATCAACAAGCCCAAGGATCCCCACACAAACAGCACTACTTCAGAATTCTCCACCTTGGGCCGGGAGAGCTCTTTACGTACTTTCAATTAATGACACTTTTAAGCCATCTGGCTTAATATCTTGGCTGGTATCCTTCGTAAATGCACATTTATGCTTTAGAAGCGATTTCATAAATCGAAATTTGAATATAAATGGATGCAAAATCAGACTAATTCAGTGTCTTTAAACGAACGAAAACCAAATTTCAACACGGGTATATACGTAGATTTTCAACGATCTCTCTGCTGCCCAGGAACCGTACCTGAGATGGGATAGAATAGACGCGCGCATTCAGAAGATTGGTCTCTAATTAAAGTGTATCATCACATTATATCTATTAGACATCGTTAGCCTTTCACCAACAATCGACTGATGCTTTTGAGGCTGTGTTTACGAAGACATTCTACAACTGCAACAATAAATTTATTACATCTTTCATTTTGTTTCGATGTACCACGTATAGTTCCGGTTGGTTTCATTAAGTAGGCCAATGTCTGGCGAAAAAAGCTTACGACAAAAACAGCCCGAATTAATGATGAAAATGAGTGCGTCCGATTTACAAACTCAGTGTATTTATCCATAACTTTTTAGACTACTAGACAACGCGTCTGTCTAGCAGTTTGTCTCCACCCACAATTTGGAGTAACTATAACAGATTATATTAGGACGTGAGCCGGCGACGTAAGGCCTATGACGGCCGCATTCTTTAAGAATTAATTATTGTTTTCTGATGGCTGTAAATGACGCGTGACGGTGCTGATATACTGTTGCAAGCAGGGAAACGTTAGCAAGCTACGAATGCTCAGGGATGTATCTATAGCGGTTTCTCTTTTCCTTAATAAAAGCATGGTTTTCACATAATAATTATTATAAAAAAGAAGAAAAAACATAATAATGACAAGCCATGCAGGTGTTTGACGTTCAAAAGTTTTCAAGTATGATACAATATACCAGTGGTCACCTTTAGTGTTATTTCGCTATCTCGAGAGAGTCGCTGACTGAAGTCGTAATTCGGTAGATAAAGGTAGCCTGCACTAGAACAGGCGCATTGAACTTACATTCGAGAACTATA